GCAGCTATTCGTGTCGGCTTGTAGGGTCCCAAGCTGTGCTGGCCCAAGTCAAGCTGCTTTGGCTCTGCCCTGTCCTTAGTGTGGGCAGAGCTGAGCTGAAGGAAGATCCCTGCAGCTAGCCAGATCCTGGCGGAGGGGCAGCCAGGGGTGGGATACTGGACAGGGCAGGCCTCGCATGTCTGGCAGCCTCCTAGTGGCACTGCTGGCAGCTCTGGGACACAGGAGCTCTGGGGCACTCCTCTCTGGGAGTGAATAATTCATGTGTCAGGACAGCAGCACCAGGCAACAACCAGTTGTGACAGTGATAGTTCCTATGCTGGCACTGACATTCCCTCTCCTGCCCACAGCAGGACCAGGTCATCGTCTCTGAAGCTTGCAGAGGACAGAAGCAGTTGGGCTTCGTTTTGGCCAGAAGCACAGTAGAGGTAATTAGCCAGTGCTGACTGACTCTGGCTGGTCAGAGGGGACTGGGACTAGAGGGGCAGTCAGAAAAATAAGCCCACAGGAGAGGGACCTTTCAGGATATCTTTTTGTGCCGGAAGTCCTCCGGGAATGGTGCTTTGAGACATGGGGTGTTCACGTGCACGGGATGAGCACTGGTCAGAAATGCTCATTGACCTGTCAGTGGACATCCTCCTTTAGCTCCGTGGGCAGATACTTTGTCCCAGCAGACCCAATGGACCTCCTGGTTATCTTCCAGGGTGTATCCCTGGGGCTGCACCGAGATGCAGGCCTGTCTCTACTATTCACCTCCTGGCCCAAAGTTATGGCCTGGTTATAAACCCATGGGAGCTACAGGCAGCACTGGAGCTGTGGGGCAGGCCCAGATGAGCTTCCTTTGCTCAGGGGCGTCTTGCAGGGACAAAGCTATGCTACTGCTCTCTACCGGCTTCCATACTTGGGGCACTAACTGGTTTTATTGACGTTCACTCCCAGGTCTGTGTTCTGCACAGTCTCTAAGCCAGATTCACAGCTACTATAAACATACATCACTACCAATCTCCGCCTTACCCCAGTCAGCTTCTGATCCGTGGCTATCCTACAGCAAAGCTCTCCTGGATGTGGCTGTGCCAGGGGAAGTGCCTGCCTGCTCACCTTGGTGTCCCAGGGCAAACAGCCCAGAATCCCTGGCTTGGCTTTGGGGGGATTTTTGCCTGAGCAGAACCCCAGAGCCTGGCCCTTGTCCAGTAGTTGCCTAGTGAGTCCTCCCTGCAGCCCTGTGAGTTCTCACATGTGCTTTCAGATGGCCCGGGAGAAGCTCCAGAATGACATCTTTGACCGGGTGAACGCGTGCAACATGCTGCTGTATGAGATGAGGCAACGGGACAGAGCCCTGGATGAGCTGCAGAGGCAGCTGCAGCATCTGATGGAGGCAGAAGCCGGTGACAAACAGCACCAGGCCCAGATGCAGGTACATGCGGTCTGCTCCCAAGGCAGAAGCCACAGCCTCCAATGGTCAAATGCACAGCAGGACCAGGTCATCGTCTCTGAAGCTTGCAGAGGACAGAAGCAGTTGGGCTTCGTTTTGGCCAGAAGCACAGTAGAGGTAATTAGCCAGTGCTGACTGACTCTGGCTGGTCAGAGGGGACTGGGACTAGAGGGGCAGTCAGAAAAATAAGCCCACAGGAGAGGGACCTTTCAGGATATCTTTTTGTGCCGGAAGTCCTCCGGGAATGGTGCTTTGAGACATGGGGTGTTCACGTGCACGGGATGAGCACTGGTCAGAAATGCTCATTGACCTGTCAGTGGACATCCTCCTTTAGCTCCGTGGGCAGATACTTTGTCCCAGCAGACCCAATGGACCTCCTGGTTATCTTCCAGGGTGTATCCCTGGGGCTGCACCGAGATGCAGGCCTGTCTCTACTATTCACCTCCTGGCCCAAAGTTATGGCCTGGTTATAAACCCATGGGAGCTACAGGCAGCACTGGAGCTGTGGGGCAGGCCCAGATGAGCTTCCTTTGCTCAGGGGCGTCTTGCAGGGACAAAGCTATGCTACTGCTCTCTACCGGCTTCCATACTTGGGGCACTAACTGGTTTTATTGACGTTCACTCCCAGGTCTGTGTTCTGCACAGTCTCTAAGCCAGATTCACAGCTACTATAAACATACATCACTACCAATCTCCGCCTTACCCCAGTCAGCTTCTGATCCGTGGCTATCCTACAGCAAAGCTCTCCTGGATGTGGCTGTGCCAGGGGAAGTGCCTGCCTGCTCACCTTGGTGTCCCAGGGCAAACAGCCCAGAATCCCTGGCTTGGCTTTGGGGGGATTTTTGCCTGAGCAGAACCCCAGAGCCTGGCCCTTGTCCAGTAGTTGCCTAGTGAGTCCTCCCTGCAGCCCTGTGAGTTCTCACATGTGCTTTCAGATGGCCCGGGAGAAGCTCCAGAATGACATCTTTGACCGGGTGAACGCGTGCAACATGCTGCTGTATGAGATGAGGCAACGGGACAGAGCCCTGGATGAGCTGCAGAGGCAGCTGCAGCATCTGATGGAGGCAGAAGCCGGTGACAAACAGCACCAGGCCCAGATGCAGGTACATGCGGTCTGCTCCCAAGGCAGAAGCCACAGCCTCCAATGGTCACATGGAGGTTTTAATTCAGCATCCATCTCGGCTCTCCCAAGAGAGCCAGGCAGCTGCTGGACTCAGTAGTCTGGGTCCTCTGGGGTACCCTTGACTGGAGCCGTCTTTGCTGCAGGTGATTCGCCAGCTGGAGAATAACATTGAGAAAACACTCATGAAAGTCCGTACCGGCCAGAATGTCACTACCCTCTACCTGGCACTGCGGGATGTCCTGAAGAAGGTGAGCTCTCCTTTGCCGTCTCATCATACCACGTGCCCAGGGACAGACCTGTCCCCCCTTAGGCTCACATTAGAGCTCCCTGGGTGAGGCAGAAGCAGACCTGTGTGCTTGCACAGCTGGGGTTGCTGAGATGGCCGAGAGCTTCCAGCTGGCAGAACACATGCAGGAGTGCTGAAGGCATTGCTCAGAGAGCCCAAGGTCCTGCTGAGGGGACTGCTCTAAGGCCAGTGCTGCACCTGACCTCAGCACAGGGCTGGAGGTGCCCTGCAGCACAGGGGCCTGGCCCAGGCTCTGCTTCAACCTATCTTGCTGAGATTTGTTCCTCTGGGATCCAGTTGCCTGCCAGTAGGTGCTAGCATATCCTAACTGCACCCTGGCAACCTTCCTGAGTAAGAGCAGGGCATGCTGCTTCCCAGCCCTGCTGCTGGCTCCCACAAGGATGGACCTGTACATGGGGTGGATAGGGATCTGGGGCTGCTTGCCCTGCATCTGGATGGCCCGGATCTGGGAGCGCCATGCAGGGCAGGGCCAATCTGTGTGCAGTGCAGAGGCATTGCGTAGTCTAGGCCAAGGACAGGCAAGCAGGTGGGTAGGGTTCCCCTAGACCCACCCTGGGATGGCCTGGGCTCCGCATCCCTCCCTCTCCTGTGTGAAGGAAAGCAGGAAATGAGGGTGCCTGACAAACTGTGTATGTCCTAGGAGCTGGCCCACCTGCCTTTGCAGCTGGATGTCCTGCACCAGATGGTCGAAGTGTACCAGGGGGAGCTGAAAGGCATGGAGCTCATGGCCTTGGATGCCCTCAAAGCCAATGATGCAGCCAAGGTGAGGACCTGGCCTCGGGCACCTTGGGACCCTCTTCCAGCTGCCAGAGCCCACAGTGACCCAGTACAGACTGCATTAGGTTCCCAGGCCAGTGAATATTCCTGCAATAAAGAGTAGAAGAGACTGAGCTGGACTTGCCCACAGTATCCAAATGCCTTTGTAGCTCCTCCTGTGTCTTGCTCTTGGATCAGGCTCCCTTGGTGGTGGGGGACAGCCTACTAGAAGCCCCAGCTGTGAGAAAAGCCAGCCTCTTCCATCCTTCCAGCCTTCTTTGCCCCCCTGCAGTCTCCTACACAGTTTGTTACATGGGAGGTCATTTTTGACTCTCGCTGTCCCAGAAGTGACTGTATTCAGCATGTGGCTCAGTTGGCTCACAAAGGTCCCTCCTAGCTTTGACAGTCATTTCTCCTGTCTCTGTGGTTCCAACATGCTCCAGGGGGACCTGGCCAACCTAGAAACTCAATTCCTTATGGAGAGAAACCTCAGGGACCATTCCCTGGCTACCCAAAAGGAGCGAATCGACAGAATCCGCCTCAAGGATGCGAGTGAAAAGCACAGAAGAGCGTTGAGCTGGTGGGAGCCTGGGGCAGGTGGGAACATGGGGCTCTGGGGCTCTGCTTGGCTGGGGAATGAGCTCTGGTGCCTGGCCCCCTGACAGACATCAGGACCCAGCCTCTCTCTGGGCCAGGGGTGGTTACATCGCTGAAAGCCCCCGTGGGTGAGGAGGCTGCAGGGCCAGGGAGACAGGGGGCTGCAGGACCAGCTCCCCCAGGGTCCCAACAGCTCAGGAGGTCTCATTGAATGTTCTTGCAGCAAGCCAAGGGTGAACTTGCTGTGGACTTCCCGTCCCTGATCTCCCAGGAGTCGCTTTTGGGTGAGTGCCTTGAAGGGTGCAACGCAAGGTCTGTCACTGCAGCCCCAAAGGCAGCGCTCGCCATCCCCCAGGCTGTGCAGGGCAGTGCCCAGGTTCTCCAGCTTGCAGCATGGCTGCTTGGCTCTGTGGGATTTCTTTCTCTCTGGAGGTGTGGGATTTTCCCAAGGCCACAGACAATGGGCCCCATTCTGTTGTCCTGCATTCAACAGTGGCAGCTGGTAAGACATCTCCTGAGGTTCAAGGGCAGAGTCTGCCCCATGCCCTGCCTCAGGAAGGCAGGTAGGACCTGCCATTAACCTCTACACTGGAAAGCTGCCCAAGGTCATGGGGACCTGTGCAGCAGTGTATCCTCCTGGCGCCATGTCTGGCAGACTCCTCCTGTGAGATCTCCCCCTTCTTTCTCCAGCTGGGGCAGCTGCCACTGCCCTCAGGATGCTCTGGGGCAGGGGGAGTCCCTTCTGTCACACCTCTCTGCTGTCCTATCCCCATGTCCTGCAACCACCAGGCCTGTCTGTCTCAGGTGTCCTTCCCTCCTGTGTCCTCCACATACCCAGGTACCAAACTGGAGGCTACCAAATCCCAAATTGAGTATCAGGCCCGGGTGACATCAGAAGTAGAGAAGGTCAAGTCTGCGGTGCAGTGCTCCCGTCTCTGGGTAACGTAAAAGCTGTCTCTGGTAAAAGCTGCTCAAGGTGAGGGGAGGGTACTGGGAACTCCAGGCCAAACCCTTGTCCCTGGGACCTGAGATCTCTCTGTTTGTATTTCATTTCATTTTATTTAAGGGGATCTCTGTTGTCCTTTGCCCTCTGAGCCCCGCAAAACCCTTGTCCTTGTGCTGACAGAGGCAGAGCTGCTTTTCTCTGTGCTGTGAGCCTGCAGCAAGCTGCAGTAAAAGAAATCTCCCTGAGGCTGTGGCCCAGGGAGGAGATCCTGCACTTATTCCATGTACCCAGGTTTGAGGCACGGTGATCTGATTCCTCTTGCTCTCCTGTTATGGCCAGGACATTGCTGGAAGGCTTCTGGCTCAGCAGAAGTCCACGGTAGACCTTCAGCAGCATATCAAGGAGTGTGAGGAGAAGAAGAAGGTATTGAAGGACAAGTTGAAGGAGCTGGAGCTGAAACAGGCTGAGCTGAAATTTCACCAACCCCCAAGCATAATCAGGTACCATTGGCCTTAGGACAGTGCTGGCCAGAGCAGCAGGGCACTCTCCCCAGCTCCCAAGCATGCACTGGTCTCAGCAGAGTATCCAAAAGTCATCCTGTGGCTGTGGGGACATGAGGCAATGAGGCATGCCCAAGATCCTTGTGTCTGCAGGGCCAGGAGATGGGCAGTAGCAGGACCTGAAGCCATGCAGTGGACGCTTCCTCTCCAAACCCAGCCTGTACCCTTGCACAGCAGCTTGCGCAAGGTGTTTTTGGTTGCAGTTTTCCCATCTCTGCCCCAACAGGGCTGTACTTCAGGATGTGTCCTGTTCCCTACCTGGGCAGGGAAGCAGTACCAGCAGATCTTAACTGGGTTATAGGCAGTATGTCTCTCTGCTCAGTGGAAGGTGGCACATGGGCAGCTTCTGCAATAAGATTTTAGCTGTCTCTGTATGCGTATGCATTTCTATGGACGTGTGTGGGTGAATCTGGTTAGCTCTAGGAAGCTGGAGGAAGAGCTGAAGATGAATCTGCGGCAGGAAGAGGCCCGCCTTGAACAGGTGCAAGCCCAGATGCTGAAGAACCAGGAGCTCCTGCTCATGTTTGAAAATGGCATCGATAACCTCTTCATTCGCCTGTATGGCATCACTGTGCCTGATCAGGTACCCACCTTATGCTAAGCCTGCAGGGTACCAGGAGCAGGGATGCTGCCCAGGAGGCTCTGTCTGGAGGTGTGACAGGCTGATGGAATGCAAACCACATCGAGATGCAGGTCTCTCCCATCAAAAACCTTCCTGGAGCTACGCCTGGTGCTCAGTGGGAGGCTGGCATGAAGGCCCTGCCTCCCAGGGTGCTGGGGAGCAGGCAGGTACGAAGGGGATGGGAGAAGGGCATCCCAAACCTTGCTATGGAGCAGCAAAACAGCCCCACTGACCTGGGGGCTGACCCTGAAGAGGATTAGCCGCACAAGTGATGGTGCTGAGTGCTCATGTCCCATTGCTGTGACACTTCACTGAGGAAATGAGTCAAACATCACTGTCCATGCAGTGCAAACAGCCTTTAAACCAACAGAGCCTGCTAGTGCTCAGTGCTCACCACAGTAACGTGTGGATCTGGAGCTTTGATCTGGTACAAGCAGCCCTCATATTAGATTGACCTGGCCTCAGTCTTGTGTCCGCAGCATCTGGGCAGACAACACAAGCAGCGTGAAACCTCCTCCAAGTCAGTAGCATAAGGGCAATTGGTCGGGATGGTCAGATCTTGCAGCACTACAATGTCCTGCCCTGGAGACATGGAGGAGGCAGCTCAACCCTCTCCTTCTGTGTCCAGCCTTCCAGCTGCAGATCTCTGTGGCCCTCAATGCACCATGCATGTCTCCTGTGGCTTGCTGGGCCCTTCTAGGAAGGGTCTGCAAGTGGGCTGTAGGGGTGTCCAGCAGAGGCAGGCAGAGCCATTGATGTGGGAGATAAGATAGGATCAGAGCTGGGAAGGAGGGTGCTGATTCCAATTCCTGCGTGGAAATGGGATGCAGGAGCAGATGGCTGCAGGGCTAAGCAGACCCTCTGTCTGGTGCTCAGCAAGCAGGGCAGGGTGTAGAGCAGGAGCAGTGCTGAATACCCAGGGGAAACAGGCAGCATGGGCTGGGTACGCACGGGCAGCCGGGGCAATGCTGCTGGAAGACCCTTACTCCTGATTCTTACCAGCAAACTCCTGCTCTTGCCTGCCGGCTGCCCCATCCTCTGCTCCCTCCCTGCCTGGTGCAGGACCCGTGGTGATAACACCTGTGGTGCAACATGTTGCACAGTGTAGTGATACTGTGCAGGAACAGTGTGGCCAAAGTCACCCAGAGCACTGTATGGGTCATTTTCCCCACTGTGATTCTTCTCCTTCTGTTTGACTCAAGGACACTGTTGAGGCCAAGGACACGGATGAGAAGCTGCAGCACTGTGAGAAGAAACTGCTGCACCTGGCACAGCTTGTGACCGACCTGCCTGCTCAGTACAGCCTGGATGAGGACAATGAGGTACGTGCAGGGCTCTGACTGAGCTGTCTTTCTGCTCAGACCCATGTGGAGCTTTCTCTGCAGGTGGCCCATCCCAAGCTGTCCTCTCTACTGGGAGGATGCAGATTGCCCCGGGGAAGAGCTGTGGAGGGGCTTGGCTCAGGGCAGCACTGAGCCGTGTGAGATGTCCTCTTCAAGGGCAAGACTGAGGTGGGGCGCCTCTAGAGTTCTAACATCCACCTCCATTCAGCCCATAAGTCAGAGTACCTTTTACAGACTTTTGTGAAGGTCAGGAATTTTCTGGAGAAAATGACCAAGGAAGAGCCACAGAACCTGAAGATTTCTTTGGAAGATGAAGGCAGTGGTGTTCAAGGTATGAGGGTACTGTGGGGAGAGGTGGACACAGAAGGGAGATGGCCCACGGTGATTGCCACAGCCCTTGCCTTCTGGGACTTCTGGGCAGCCTCACTTGCCTCCCAAGATCCCAGCAGATCTGGACCAGTGAACTGCCCCCCGATGTGGCCTGGACTGATCCTGGCTGTCTCTGAGGCCCAAGTGTGGGTGGTATTCTTAGGTGGGGATTTAGGAGAATGGAGGCAGCATGTGGCACAGCGAGTGCTGAACAGCAGCAGGTAAGGAAAACATCCTGTGAAGGAAGGAGCGAGAACTGTGCATATTCATTAGCCAGACTGCATCAGGGCTTCTTAGCCTCAGCTGATGTGTCCTAAAGGCTCACATTCACCTTTCAGACCCATAGGCAGCTAAGGTCTTTAAAATCGGCTGGTTGTAAAGAACAACCAATGCTTGGCTCCTTCTATGGCCTCCTCATATTGGACTCTCTTGGAGGAGACTGAGTTTTCTTCAGTCTACAGTCTCTTTTTTAATGAAAAGGGAAACTGTGCCCACCACCTTGTAACTCTAGACCCAGAGCTTTTGGGGAACCCCCAGCAGTGTGAGAGCTGGGTCACAGAGATGTCAATAGTGTTGTCAGGCTTTGACAGGTCAGTCTGAGATGCTGTGATGGAAAAATCCAGGTGGCAGCATGTGTACTGGAGGGCTAGGCATGAGGAGCTGCTCCGCAGTCCTGCAGGGATGCCACCAGCCCTCAGTCCCATGCAGGCACAGAAGATGTAGCCCAGCAGCTTGTCCACAGCAAGTGCCTCTCTGCTCTCTCCTCCAGATGCCTTTGATTTTGCTGACAAAGACCATGGCCATGTTCTCACCCGGGACGAGATCAAGAAGCAGGGGCTGCGCTTCATTGAAAGCAAGATGAAAAGTGGCAAGAAGAAGCAGCAGTCGTTCCCTAAAAGCTTTTGACAGCCCAGCCAACCCACTGTTTTTCCCCTAGAGGCAATAGAGTAGATCTTTTTATATTCCTCCCAAGCCTATGCAGAAAACTGGAGAGGGTTGGGACAGTTGGAATCTTGGGTAGGGATCTCAGGATCACATCTGGCACATCTTAGCAGGAGATGTCTGATAATAGACATAGGATCCTAGAACAGTATTTCAGCAGAACTGAGGTACCTAGGTAAAAACTGTCACTCCAAGATCTTTCCTTCCCCTCTCATATGAGGGTGCTGCTTTGTTAGACTTGATTTTCCCTAAGCACAAGAGTATGCCTAGGCAGATCTGCGACCCCTGAGGGGCTGGCCTGGGCATCCAGGAGTGGCCTGGCTATGTAAGCACCAGTCTGATATACTAGGGTCTCCTGCAAGAGCACCCTGGGGCTCTGCCCAGCACTGCCCCAAGGGAGCAGCTGGGTGCTGAGGGCCCTTACCTGTGGGAGTGAGCTAAGCCCAGCTCTTGCGTCCTCCCAGCAGAGTCCCCTCAGTAGCAAGGGTTGTCCTTACCATGGCTCTGCCAGGGAGCAGAAAGTGGCAGGTTCCCTGGGCCAGGAGAATCCTGACCCCAGCTGAAGGGTGGCAGCATGAACCAGGAACAGGGCTGCCTTGGGAGCAAGGAGCAAAATGCATCCTTCTCTCCCCTGCTGTCCTTTTCCTGCCCCTCAAAAGCTCATGCTCTGCTGCTTGCAGATTTCATGCCCTGCCAGCAGAAGTTTCACCCCAATTTTTAAACTCAGTTTAATGGCACAGAAGAGACTTTAGAGCGTAACAGCATGCTGGTGGTCACCAATACCTCTCTTTCCAGGGCGGCAGGTGGGACTTTTCTCCCCAGTGTTAAGGAATTAAAAAGAAAGCTGTTCAGTTATATGTATGGGGAGAAAGGCAGTGAAATACTGCTGGCCTATTTCAGGTCAGATATTCTGGGAGCTCAATCTGATGATGTTCCCCTGGTCTCTATGGTGGTGCCATAGAGGCCTGCATGTCCAAGCCAGTCACAAGGACGTAGGTGGCTGATGGCCCTTCTTGACTAAGACCCAAGCTAAGACCTTTGCCTGGACAGGTATCAGCCCTCAGGGCACCTGTCTCCATGTTGATACTCTGCCCTGGAAAGGGACAGTCAAACACTGGCTGAGTAGTCTTCAGCTGCTCAGGACTTTCATATCCCAGATGTTAATGTTTGAGGGCCAGCTAATGCTCCTTGCATGTAAAGGATGTTTGATTCAAGGTCAGACTGGCTTGTTCATGGTGAAATGTGGCTTCAGCTACAGGGACAGATTCTCTCACATCGTAACCGAGACCCTTCCTGCCTCTTCTCTCCTGCATGCCCATGGCTCAATTTGTACTCACAACGCTAAACTCAGAGCAAGCTTTAGGCATTAGCTCTGGGCTGCAGAGAAGTGCCTAGAGGTAACGTCCAACCCAGTTCCTCCAATATGAGCTAAGAAATCAGAGGATGCCATATCTAAGCCCACAGCTCAGGGATTTGGATTCTCAGCCCTGCTGGTGCGTCACTGACACTCAACTTTCCCAGGCCTTGGCTGGAAGGAAACGCATGTGCTTGTTCTGGGGGCTCTCTGGCCCCTTGTCTTTTATGGCAAATGAAGAGAGACATGCATAAAACAATGTTGCAAATAGATGGTGCTGTTTCCCCAGATACAGATAACAGAGAACCTTCTGGCAGGCACACAATAGTCCTTGCTGGAGATCCAGAAGAATCACCTCATCCCCACTCACAGGGGAACAATAAGACTCAGACCAGGGTTTCACTGTAATTTCTGCTTGGCCCCTGTGGCTCATACTGAGATGGGTTGTGACATTATAACTGAAAGGAAAGAACTGCTGTTTTTGCCAAGACTCCAGGGGGGCTGGCAGGTCACATCAAATGCTGTGATGTGTTTCATAAGGCTACAGGTTTGACTATATTGTAAAAATATAAAACAATTTGCACCTTTTAAAGGAAGCTCTAGAAATAATGTACCAGTGAACACATCTTAATGGAGCTTCCCAAAAATCAATATCCAAATGACCATACCCTTCTGCAATTAAATAGCACATGATAATCGTATCAATCCACTTTGTGTACCCATCCTGTCTTCATATGCCCACTACAAACAGAGTATACAATCTGGGGTCTGGACCGAGTTGTTGTCTGCTGTGGGGAGCTGCCCAAACGTGGCAGTAGAAATCTGAAAATACACACTGGATGAGTTGGTATGAGCACTGGAGGAGATGGCTGTCCGTCCCAGGCTCACAGGCTTTGTTCCTGCTTCTGCAGCAGATGGCAGTTCTGGTATCTTACTGCCTGTGCCCAAAGGAAAGAGAGTGGGATAGCCCTGAGCTGTGCTTCTCAGCTGTGCCACGACATTGCCTCGGTGAAGTTCAGGATGCTCAGATCTATTGCCCTACCAATAGTGTCATCTCCAATGACAGACTCCTGAAGATGTCGCTGCCTCCTGGCAATTGCATTAGCAACTATGAGGTGGTACAAAACACTGCGTGTTAAGGGATGTAAAATGGAGCATAACTGGCCGGCGGGACCCAGTGCAAAGGAGGAGAAACTGACCTTGTGAGAACAGTCGTCCTGCCAGTTATCTGTTTCTGGCACTTCTTTTGTGCTGGCCACACAAACAGGTTTTATTGTAAAATATGAGGCTTCCAGTTAATTGAAAAAAAAAAAAACAAACAAAGAAACAGACAGTGCAAACAGCTTCTCGGTCTCTTTTGGTACAAATATTTGAATTCCACTTTGCCCTGTAAAGCTGCGCTCTTCCCATTAAAACAGAGAGTTCCTGCGTGCTTAATCATGTCTCAGTCAGTTCTTGACCTCAGAGGCCAACTCAGAGTGCTGAACAAATCTCAGTCAGGCACTAACATCTTTTAAAAGCTATTAGGGAGCATTTGGATACCTCCCTTCACTCTCATGAAATTGTTATAGATCCTGAACACTCGTCTCTTCAAACAAAAGCTCCTCTTCATTTAAACCTAATAGGCAAGAGAAAACTATCCCAAACTCCTGGAATCATGGTTTCCGGTCTGTCACCAAAAAGGTCTGTACCCTTGAAGCAGAGTCCGGAGAAAAATGAAGCTGATGTGAGAGTCTCACAAAAACTCTGCTCCACACTGACCACCTGGCAAGAAAAAGTGAGCCACAGTAACATGCCCTAACAACCCTTAAGACTTGCTCCTAGAAGAGAGCGCAGCATTACCCTTACCTATCTCTCCAGGTCTCACCTGTGCAGATACTCCTGCTTTCCTTTGCCCTTGGTCACCACACTGACCCGAGTGACGGGGGGAGGGTCTTACGTTGAAAAACGAGGAAGACTTTTTTTCTTTTCTCCTTCCCTTACTTCTCCTCCACATCACTCACAGGAATGGGAGGCAACTCCTTTTGGTGAAAGGGGAACTGGCCAGAAAGACTCCCTGAAAGTAGGAAACAAGAAAATTCCTCGGAATAGTCTCTTTTGTGACACAACACCTCAACTAAAATTGACATGTGGATCTGCTCAAGCCTGTGACAAAGCTGTCTGAGCTGTCACCTGACTGCCTTGTTGTTCATGAGGCCCCTTCTCACACTGGATCTTGTCCAACTCTTCCTTTCTGCAGGGCAACACTGTTCCCCAGGGTGTTCTCTTCCTCTGCTTTATCTCCTCCTTACACTGGGGGGGGGGGGGCTTCTAGGGGGGGGGGGGGACTTGGCAAAGCCTCTTTTAGGGGAAGAACTTTACATGAGGGCAACAATTTCAAGAGCTCTGTACTGCTCTGGTATATACCAGTTTGCTCTTTTGGCACCTTCATCCCAAATGCGATAATTTTGAGATCTTTGTGAGCAGTTAAGAAAAATAAGTTGAAATTCTCAGCTTTCAAAACAAAACAAACTTTTGGTACAGGTTAGGAGCCGCCTTTTCATCTACTCTAAGGTCAGTTTCTCCAATCAATTAAAAGCACATTGGTTCCATGAGACATGCCAACTCCTAGACTGCCCACAGCTCCAGGCAGAATTAGCTATTCAGAGGGCCAAGGGCTTTTCCTAAAGTGATGCTCCTGTCTGCACAAACAAATATATTCTAGGGACCAGAATGCAGGGGGAAAGTGTCCTTCAGCAATACTAATTGCAGTTTGGACTGCTAGGGTGTCCTGAGATCTTCCACAGTGACTCATCTGAGAATTACTGCAGCGGATACGGAGTCACAGAACGTGCATCCTACTCATTGCACTGTATTGCATTGCATTGATAATTCATTGCACTGTAACCTTGGCTCTAATCACCTACTGCTAGCGACAGAAGGAAAATGCGTAAGTCTCACTCAGGAGTCATCTTTTACATTAACAGTGAATCACAGAGTAAGTTACGTGGGAAGGGACCTCTGGAGGTCTCTGGTCCAAACCATGCCCAGAGTAGTGTCAACTTATCAGGTGCTCAAGGCAGAGTCCAGCTGAGTATTGAATCCCTTTGAGGGTGGAGTTTCTCTAGTTGGGGATTTGGAATTTCCCTTGTTGCAGTTTTTGCTCACTGCTCATCCTTGCACTGGGCACCTCCAAGAGGAACGTGGCCCTGTCTTCTAGGTACCCTCCCATTAGATAGCTAAAAGCATCAATAAAATCACAGAATCGTTTAGGTTGGAAGGGACCTCTGGAGATCATCTAGTCCAACCTCCCTGTTCAAGCAGGGTCACCTAGAGCATATTGCCCAGGATCACATCCAGACGGGTTTTGAATATCTCCAGCGAAGGAGACTCCACCACCTCTCTGGGCAACCTGTGCCAGTGCTCTGTCACCCTCACAGGAAAGAAGTTTTTTCTCAGGTTTAGGTGGAACTTCCTGTGGTTCAGTTTGTGCCCATTGCCTCTTGTCCTGTCGCTGGGCACCACGCAGAAGAGTCTGGCCCCATCCTCTTGACACCTTCCCTTCAGATACTTGTACACGTTGATCAAATTGCCTCTCAGCCTTCTCTTCTCCAGGCTCAACAGGCCCAGC